TATTGATCAAATCGGCTGCACATGCTCAAAAACCACCGACTGAAACTTTGGATTGCCCTCAAGCTTGTTGTTAATCAATGAGAGGAAAGGTTGCTCCAAAAAGAAACGTAAGCACTGATCAATACGCACGAAATACCTCTTTTCGCTTCCAATTCAGGGCCCTGCTGCAATCAGAATTGCACTTGGCTTGTTTTTTATTTTTAGGGCAAATCAGCAAGAAATTTGCAGACACCACCAGGTGCCTCTGTAAAGTATTAGGGCTAACGCCTGAGTCTTTTCATTGGTAGACAATACATCTATCAACAAAACTGGCAAATCGAGGCATGCAATGACAGAAAAAATTATTCAAAAATCACAAAAGAAACGAATTCAGCAACTAAGGGCAAAGCGGAGTTTTCAGACGGTCTAGACCAGAACAGTTGTGTAATATAACGGCATCAGAGCGTAATGTCAAAGAATGGGAAGAAAAGTTTCGAGAAAAAAGAATCGACATGGGAGGAGATGGTTTAGAGAGCGCCAACGGTGTCCATGCAGCCGACGAACAGCGGGCGGAGTCGAAGTCAAGCATCGAACGGCGGAACGTAAAGAAAAGACCTTTGTGTCGAACTTTGCCGCAAGACTGGCAAGTAGTTTCTCAACTGTTTCGGGCAACACATAAGAGACAGCCACGACAATTGGTCGGTCGCCAAGACGACATCGAGCATGTTGAAGAAATGAAACACTCATGTTTAGCCACTTTTTGTACTCTGGGAACAGGCCATCGACAGTGACAATGTCTCTTTGACTTTAAACTGAAGTAACATGTATCAGACTTAGAGTGGCATGTGGCGCTCTATCACACGCATGATCCGGAGATCGAATCCGGTGTAGAAACCCATTCAGACCAACGACGCCTTCCATCTGATGTGGTCTCTCTTTTAATACCAGTTTTTACACAAATAAGCTCCGATGAAAGCATGTGGTGCAATGATAAGTGACACACTCTGTCACAAGCATGGCAAGAGAATCGAATCCCGGCTCATTATCTGCCAGGAAAACAAGGCCTCCCATCCCTCCGGGGTCGATTAATGGGTCCCAGGCTAGCCTAGGAGAACAAAAGCATGACTTGTACAGCGGCTAGCCACTGAAGTCATACAGTAGGCCAAGTGTACATTCCGAGCCGTCCTACATTTCTGCCTAGAAGGCGAGTGTGAGGCGCATCCTAGAAACGAAATTGTCTAAGCCAAAATACCTTCACAGCTATAAGATTATAATACTTTTCTCAAATATCACTTTCGCTCTTCACCCTCATCAAGTGGAACTTTTCAGACTATTGAATGGTCTGATTCAACACAGGTCATGGTAGCTTCATAGAAGATTTTGATACATTTAGTCTCAAAGGGGATCTCAAAGCTGCAACAATTTTGCCTCGGAAAACTCAAAGTTGGCCACTACTGGTTACCATGGTATCACTAATCTGTTTGCCCGATGACCACTCATCAATTTTGCGTTTTAGGTGATGGGCAGAATCAAGCAGAAGCAACTATTCATCTGAAAAGTGCTGCTTGAGCGAAATGCTGAAGTAGATTCAACGAGATCAGAGACTATTTTGAAGAGTCACGTAGGCTTCGGAAAAAAGGTGTCGGCATTTTGCAGATCTGCACGAACACGAATCGGCAATTGTATGTATACAGAGCAACGACGTGCTGAACGATGTATACTTGAGTAATGGTGTGGAAAGACTAGTTGTTAGACGAGTAAGCGGTGAGAAAATGAAAAATGTCAGGTGGACGGGGAGGTTGACGTCACTGAGGGGACGTGGGTGAACAGCTGCCGTAATCATAGGCAAGAATTGCACCTGATCGCTTCCGTTGCGCCGATGGTTGAACGTTGATGCTTGCAGAGGCCATCGAATGTTCACAGAGCAGATAAAAAATGATGAATTGATGGATGTTCCAAGGATGAGCCACGTTTGCGCCCCCGCAACTAATTAACACTTGCAAAATGCCCGATGGCTGGTCTCCAATTTCCAGACTAATCCGATTCCACCCACTGACGAGCAGATTGAACACTCGAGTGGCTTGATTGAGACTATGACGTGGGATGTTTGGACCCAGCGAAAATCAAATAACTCGTAAAAGAGAGCGACAAACAAGGAACCCAAATAGGACACCAACCAAGAAGCATTGCCAAAAACACAGCGAAGACGAGAGAATAAGGAGAAAACATAACTGCACGGATATTACTCGGACTATGAATATTTTTTCCATACGCATTGAGGATCGTCCAAAAACTTCTTGAATTCTGTACATACGTGGAACCTTGGGCTCTGATTGTGGGCTGTTCTTGAGGTCGAGGACGAGGCGTATTCCAAAAAGTCATTGCCAATGAATAATCCTCAACCATTTTTCATCAGCTCTCGTTTGACGACGTTCGACTAATAATCAAGCTTTGAGCAGAAGTACTAGCGGCATCAATAAGGTGAGGAATCAGGAGATTCATGAAGTTTTATGCAAGGAGATGGTTGAGTGGCAAGTGTCGCACTACCACACACATGGTCACGGGTACGAGTCCTGGATCGATGTCCATCTAAGCCAAAAGCCATCCATCCCGCCGGAATCAATTAATTGGTACCAGACCCGTTTAGGAGAATAGAAGCATTGATCTTACATCAGCTGGCAATCGAAAGTCATTGTATAGACCAACATGTGCATTCCAAGTTCCACTACGATTCTGCATGGAAGTCGAATGCGGGGAACATCCCAGAAACGGGATTTAACGTCAAAAGCTCTCTAGTCTATATATTCTTAGAAAAGCAGTGCACAAGGCTTCCTACCATATAGAATTCAATTAACGAGGGGAGCTATTAATGAGGTTTTCATGTCGCGTATAAGCACAACGTCAAATGAGGGGCTTTTACAACAGTGTGAGAGATAAGAGTGTAACTCAGTATAGAGGATCCAATGAAGGTTCAAACTAACTTGGCAATAACAGTAAAAGAGTTACATCTTTCATATGCTTTATAAACGTTTCAGTGAACAAATGAAGGAGGAATAGACTGGCCTGGCAAGAGCCAATCTCGGGACCTGTAGGGGCGTAAAGCAGTGCCTCCAGCCGCAAGATGGCATCTGGTAATGGTTAAATCCGTTTCTATAGCGGTTTAACAGGCCATGGATTATCTTAAATGTAGAGAATCTGATATATCTACACCTTGCTAAGCTAGCAAATCCCATCCTCTGAAATACTAGGGCTCAATGAGTAATCTGTTTTGTACCATATGTCCACCTTTGATGGGTCAAGGATAAAGGTAGAGAATAAAATTTTCTGGTTTCGATCAATAACGTTTGCACACACGTTCAGCTTTCGCTCAGAATCGTGGTGTCATTTGAATGCGCACGTCGCCTAGACAATGACTTAGGTGACTCTAGTTGCTGTACAAGTGAGTGCTTTTATCTTTTCAGACTTGTCAGTACTAATTAACCGATATCGAGGGATCAAGTTCCTGGATTATTTAGGTGAATGTGCTGTACGATGATCGAATCCCAGACTGCCTGAGTATCAGTCTGGGATTCGATCAACGGACATACTTTTGATAGTGCACTACTTGGCACCACCCCATCTTTTATGGAAAAAAATTTATCTAATCCTAGCTTTCGTTCTTTGGAGATTGCATGTAGTACACAACCTAAAGCCATGAGTTCACATCAATGAACATTTCCTACTTGAGCAGTACTAGCCGATGTTTCAAATTACGGAACTGCTTGTGCGACCTAAACATAAGTTCTTCGGTCGGTTGTTAAGAACTTCGCGTATTATTCTTGAGTACTTTGCCTGAAAGACAAGGAAACCGGAGGATGTTCGGGGAACAGCACACAGCCGAGCTGGATACAACGAGAAGTGCGATAACCTCGGATTATGACGAGGTGAGCCAGTGAGCTACATGAACCTGTTTTGAACTTCGTGCACAACCTGTAGCTATTTTCTGCCCTTGTCTGCAATGCACTGCACTCTCACCAGACAAAAGAGCACTTTGTGACTATGGCGACGAATCTCTGACTTTTCACAGCTCACTAACCATACAATCTGGAACACTTCCCTGCGAATGTATTTGCGGGAGGGGACACCCCTTTTCCCTGACACTGGGGGTTGAACGCAGAGGAGGGGTAGCCTTCTTTGCGGGTCCGTAACGATGCTCTTTAGGCAGGAATAGTATGCAAGCACCCTTACCCTTTTGAAAAAGAAACTAATGTTCGATTCTTACCCAGTCCCGGCTTGCTGTACAAGACAAACATCCCACCCACTCCGATGCTCTCCTCTTCTGTTCAGACCTAGTTAAAAAAAACTAGATTCTCACATTTAAAAAGTGGTTCCAAGCCCCATTAGGACCTGCATAGGCGGCTACCCCTCCTTCTCTGCGCAGTAGCGCCTAAAATTAGATAAAAGGAGTGACCCACTTCCCCCTACATTTCAACACGCCCAGGGCTAGACAAGGAAGTGCGCCCCCCCGACTAAATTTTCACGAACTTCCGTCTACGCCTGTTCCCTGCGTCACTTTTCGATCCTTGGCTTTGTGCCAGCTGAATCATGCCCGTCCTTTAGACGACTGCTCTGTCACCCTTTAAGTACACATTGCTGGGTGATCGGCAAAATGATGGCTTTGTGACATCCCTTGCCAAACAGTAAATGATTTACTCTACGACAATGATAAACATTCATTGAGGAAAACGAACTAGGAAACAAAAGAAACTTGGGAAAAAACAAAAACTTCGAAAGATAAACAAATAAACATCCAGTCAAGCGTTTAGAAAAAGTTCACATGCTCAGGGTAACCAGGTAGTTCGGGCAGTAGGACGGCATGGCCTTCGGTCTATCTGACGAGATATCATTTCCGTTCCCTACTCTATTGATCGCTGACGTTGGCCACGAGTGGCAGCCACGTATCGCGTTGACCCCCTCTGCCGTCTGTTGACCATTCCCACTTCTATCTACTCACCTACTAACCCTCCCAATAACCTCCAAAAATGACGGGTTTCGGTTTTGCCATCGATCGTGGTGGCACGTTCACGGATGTTTGCGTTTTCAAGCCGGACGGCACTACCCGAGTGCTCAAGGTGCGCATTAATCTTTTCGGTTATTCAAGGTTTTCCTTTAAATAAGTGCTTCTCAGTGCTCTTAAATTCTCTCTTTATTGCTAAGCTCTAGACATATTAAACCTAAACCTTTTTAGACTTTAAAATTACACAATCCTTATGAAATTAGTCTCAGCATCTGATAAAAACCAACCAAAAATAATAGGAGTGTGGACCTGCCGGTGAAAAACTGAAATGGCAGATTTTTCTTCCCCAGCCTACCTCTCTTACTTTTTTGAAAAATATCATTCAAGCTGATTCTTATCATCATTTAGCATGACTTTTATCTCCTTTGGCCGACCCTGAAGCGTTTTAGAGTTTTGTGACTTTTATTTGCAACAGTGAAAATTTAAATTTGCCTCAAATTTCATAAATTTCCTAATGAAATGATCACTAAAATAGTGTGGATACGAGATGGATTGCTGTCATCCACTAGAAAAATGACTAAACTAGCTAAACACTTTTGTTATTTCTGAACTCACCTAAAAAAATGAAATTGCGGCGTTTATTTACCTCTGCACGCAATGACCTTTCCCGTCGAACCCTCGCAACTCGAGAAATTTGATTGAGATTGGTTTGGTGGGTGTGTAGTTGGACTGATTTCCAGACGGCTTAAACAGAGCACGCGATTACCCGGGTGTGGTGCGATTCACGCGCCAATAAAATGAGGTCATCGGACAAAACACGCTAAAACATCATTCTTACCATCATAACGGAAGTTATAAGAACTTATAAGTAGAATAAGTAAAGAAATGACCAACTATGCACGTTTACAGATGGATCGCGTTTACTATTATCGAAAAAATCAAAGTTATTCTTATTTTGAACGTTTGACTAGTAAATTGTTGACCTAGGAGGTGAATTCTCAGTCTCGAAGGGGCTCTTTTGCCATAGTAAAGAGATTTGCTCTATTCATGGTGAAGCCGTGAACTACTGCAAATTTATTTGGTCCATCTCAACAGGAAGGTACTGAAACGATGCTGCGTGCGCGATGACCTCATTATATTGGCGCGTGAATCGCGCGCCCCCCCGATTACCCACCACGCGGCAAATCTTTGTTAGCTGTCGCGCGGGTGCGCTGTTGCGCGCGTTGTTCGAGACCAGGTCAGGCCGTGGCTGTCGCACGCGGCGTGTCAGCCCGCGATCTTTGACAGACGTCGCAATTGTCAGTAGGGCATACGAATTACGCGCGGTCCACGGTAGTCCGCTCAGAGAGAAGATATTAAGAGACAAATGAAAAACATTCGCTCCACTGAAAAGTGGCGGTACTGCAATGTAATCTCGAGACTTCAGTGAGCTGCGCCACGCGCGAAGTGGGCGGGGTGACCTATTTCCGACTGACGCGCGCAACGGACGTTCTCCCTATCGAGCGACGTCGATCCCGTTCATTAATGCTATACCATGCCCGCCCACCAATTCCCCTTTGAAAAGCCGAAATATGCAGCGGGTACGGCGTATCGTTCGAGGCTCGGTATATATCCGGGAAACGTTGTTCGATGCGGCCTTCACAGCCGCTCTGTCATAGGGTGCAAGGGCTTCAGTTACCATCCCAAAGGTGCTTATAGAAGCAATTTCTAGGTTGAACGACTAAATCTCTTGAAGGTCGATTAACCGTAGATCGAGCCGACCCACATTCCTCTGGAGGAACCTACGGCGATCCCTGGCTAGTTGTCTCGCGGCGTTAGGAGTGAACGATCGAAGCGTGCGGGAGGGCGTACACCGTGTGTCCCTGTAGAAATAAACGAACACAAGATTCTTGCAACCTCTCTGTTTGACTTCTTTGCACTCCTTGCCTTTTGCTTATCCACTGCAACAACTACCCTGATTGCTTGGGCACGTTGTCAACCGAGGTTTTTGCCGTGTAGAACTTGGTTAGGAGGTATACTGAAATTTTTTGGGAAGCAATTTAACCGGCATTAATTCCATGAAGAGGTTTATACAACCGCATACTAAATAGTAGACGTTGTAATGATTGTTGGTCGGGGTGATATGATCACTAGGTGTCGGCCGAAGGGAACCATGAAGGCAGCCGTTTCCAGGTTTTCCGGGCGAAACATGTGTCGCATTATCACGGTTCTACCCGTGCACGCAGGAAATCTTTCATAGTGGTCTCACGATATTAGAGTGCAATGACCATAGTCGCCTAATAATATTTCAAATATATTACCCACTCTAAACACCTATTACATTTTTGTGACACGCAGCGATTGCGACGAGAGCGGGGTGGTACATCCGAACCAAAATTGTCATTTCGCGGCGAGAGCGACGTCGTGCGCGAAGAAATGTATCAAAATAAGGCAGAAGCATCGCAGCCAGTAGGAATCACACAAACCAAAGGAGTAACAATAGAATCAATCCAAAAATAATAATCGCATATCGATCGAGCTGTATGAAAAACGCAGGAACTGCAGTAACGAGGCAACTGCACCGCGACTGCCGCGTGCGGCGAATCGATACACAAAACCGATTCAACTGCCCCGGCATGTCGCTCAATTTTTGGCTCTTAGCAGTCTGTCCATTCGTCCCAAGGTTTTACGAATTGTGGCGAGGTTAGTCTCATTTTAAACGAGATCGAGTGTCTGTCATCAAGAGTTGTCATTAAGAGTTTTATGTGTTGTAACTAAATACAACGGCTTTACTCTAAATCGTGAATAAGAAAAATCCTGAAATTGCCATCGCTAAGGGTTGTATCTTTAATACATATTCAGTATGCCATATTCAGTGAGACAGTTTCAAGTACTCCACCTCTTACTTCTGTAATTTCTTCCCCTATTACTTGCTGCCATGGTTCAGGTGCTGTCAGAAGATCCAGCGAACTATGTTGATGCTCCTACAGAAGCAATCCGTCAGATTTTGGAACAGGAAACGGGTGTGTCAATACCTCGAGGAAGTCCAGTGCCAGCCGGTACGTGTAATCACATTCATACAAAGTAGTGCCTTGAAAATTAAAAAACTGAACATTTTCTGCCTGCACATCGCGTTGGAACGGATCTTGGATTTGCTCATTTGAATGATCTGAAAACCTATCTTCAGAAAGAGTACTATTGAAGTTTTGATCTATTGCCTCCGACTTTTGCTCGCATTGAAGTAGAAATTAGCCCTCAGAGTTATATTTTTCGATGTAGTCTTCTTTCTTATCGTTTTCCTCAAGTTTAATGTTAAGTTCGTTTGCCTCATGAGAGCTTTGGATGATGGATTCTCTCGTTGTTTCTCTGGTTTCTTTTTGTTTTGGGACTTTAAAATTTTGTTTCCTTTGATTCTTCTCTTTGTTCACAATCTTGTGCTTCAGACATGTTTTCTGTGCTTTTAATCTACAGTATTTCTAATTTTCAAGCATTCCTAATAGGAATTAATGCGAATCTCAATTGCTCCGAACTGTTACCTTTAGATTTGGCTTCAATCTTCCCTCGCAAAGCGTCGCACACTACACGTGCGGCGTGAGCTCATTTTCATGACGATAGTATTGCACGTGCCCAATGATCGACTGTAGCACTTTCCAAGTATGGCATTTGGACGAGACAACTAGCTGAGCATCGCATTTTGAGTGGTTCCATGAGAGTTCATGACTTTCTAGTTTAATGTATACTTTGTAGGATCCATTCAAGTGCCCACCAGCAGTCAGTCGGGAATATAATTTAAGTGCTTTTGAATGCACAAGATGAAGAATAATTAAATCATTTTGTTTTCATTGTCCACTTTGATGGCTCAATTCCCACCCTATAGTTGATTTAATAATAAACAGCTGGAAGTGTTAATTACGTACTACGGCATTTGTTGAAATGCTGTTGTGCCATGTGAACAATTGTTCAATTTCTAAGGAATATTCACAGACATCTCGAATTCCAGAACACATTTCATGGATCCGTATGGGTACGACGGTAGCGACGAATGCTTTGCTCGAACGAAAAGGCGAACGCATTGCATTACTGATCACGAAAGGATTTAAAGATCTTCTATACATTGGCAACCAAACCCGTCCGAGAATTTTCGATTTCGACATAAAAATCCCTGGAGTGAGTTAACGCTTTTTGAATGCTTTTATACTGTGGTTCAATTATATTTATAACATCATATCTTAAATGGCTCAGTCTATTTGGGTGGGCTTTAGTTTCATCGGATTTGTACGTGCATACATGCAGTCCTGTAGATATATTTGGAATTCATTCTTCCCGAAATTGCGAGCATAGTGGCGATAGTGAGTCTAGCTCGATTTAATGGACAGTTACGAGGAAATAGTTCAACTTAAGACCACCCATTGCTCATTGTTACTTCTGAGATATTCATCTATGTCGTAGTCTACCTTGCAATGAATCTAAAATTTCAAAGGGCATTAAGGGCACTTGAAGGGATAAAACTTCTGAACTTCCGATCCTTCAACATTTTCCGAATATCAAGTATTGTTCATTCTGATTTCGATTTATTTTATTTGCCACTACCTTTGAAAAAACCTCGAAGTTCAGGTTCTCTATGAAGAAGTGGTGGAGGTAGATGAGCGTGTGATTTTGTCTGACGATAGCTGTCAACTAGGTGAAATTGGACGTATTCAGGAGACGTTCTTCGGGAAGAAGGTCAGTTCCTTATATTTTCTATTTTCCATCCTTTTATTCTTGGTATTGAGCTTCTTGAGCTACAGGGGTATCCTCAGGACCGACTTCCAGCTCAGCTTTATCGTACCGAAATATTCAGTTCACCGTTCAAACACGATAATTAACAAACAGATCACGAACAATCCAACTCAGGACGTGATATAATCTGTTCAGGTGATTGTGGAAAAGGAACCTAATGACAACGAAGTTACAGAACTCCTACAAGCTGTCAAGTCAAAAGGGATCAAAAGCATCGCTGTAGCCTTTCTCCACTCCTTCATGTGAGTGGATAATTCGTTTTGAGTTAGCGTCGATAATTGTTCAGTTTGATATTGGTGATCATTTTCTGTCTTGCAGTTATCCTGAACATGAGTTGAAGGTGAAGAAGATAGCTCACGAGCTTGGCCTCAAAAACGTTTCACTGTCACACGAAGTAATGCCGATGATTAAGATTGTTCCTAGAGGTTTCACAGGTAATCACTGCGCTTACTTGGTAGAATTTTTGGAACTGGTTGGTTGATGTTTCAGTTGCGATTATAAACTACATGAATTTTCTGCATAAACTATTATATGCTTTACATTTTATGTGTTTGCGTGAACAAATCCATTTGTCACGATCGCGTTTCCATTCTTTAAGCACCTCTTGCCATTTTGTAGGCAATACATATCCGAAAGCACTTACTTTGGAGGCAATGGCGCCCTTTCTGATTTTATCGTTGCGCATACTAATGTCTCTCAGAATTTGACACTCCATTTCACATACCATTTACCAACTTTATAATTATTGCATAGCAGCGCTCTCTAGTCAATTACCGTAATGACTCGTATTAAGTGCTAATGATGAACAAAAGCTGTGCTTTCGTATTTTATTTCCTATTACAGTATGTGCCGATGCCTATTTAACACCAAAGATCAGAGAATATATCGATGGCTTCGAGTCTGGCTTTTCTGATGGTTTAAAAAGTGTGAGGGTAGACTTCATGCAATCTGATGGAGGTCTGTGCAATGTCAAAAAGTTAGTTTATTACTTTTTACAAGCAATTATTCAACTCTCGTTTTTCTTTTCTGTTCATTTAATCTTTTCAGTTTTTTCGGCTCAAAAGCAATTCTGTCGGGTCCTGCTGGTGGAGTCATCGGAGTAGCTCTCACTGCCTATGACCAAAAAACTAAAAAACCTGTGATCGGATTCGATATGGGAGGTACCTCAACTGATGTAGGTGTAGCAAAGAAGCTTGGCTATATTTCTTTTTCTTGAGTTATGAAAAAAAGCTGTGGGAGTAGAACTATCAATTTGGATTTACATAACCTGTGTGATACGATTTTTTGATTATTGATCGGTTAGTGATCTCATAGTCGGATTACTCAAGAATTCGTTCTGCTATAGAAAGAAACAGAAGTAGCTACCGATACTTGTTTTTAGATATAGACGAATTTGAGATTTAGAAAGGTTACAACTGGTTCAGTAAAAGTGCTTCCTTTTTTAGGTCTCTAGGTACTCGGGAGCACTGGAACATGTAATGGAAACAACAACTGCTGGTGTGACAATTCAGGCGCCACAGGTTTGCCATGAACGAAGTTTCTCCAATCCAGTCTTTCGTAAATTCCTCATCATTCAGTGAGAGTAGAAACTAGTGCGAGGTCATAGATTTACGTTTACAATTACATTTGATGAAGAAAGTTTCATGGACTTTTTGCACTGATTCCAAGTTGTTATTTGTCTACAGAACTTCTCTTGAAGTCACAGTAGATGTTTGTATGACCGATTTTGCTAAAGAGGAAAGTGTTACAATTACAGCTGGACATCAATACAGTTGCAGCTGGCGGCGGATCTCGACTATTTTTCGACACTGGAATTTTCAAGGTTGGTCCTGAAAGTGTTGGAGCTCATCCAGGACCGGTCTGCTATCGAAAAGGAGGGTCAGTAACTCGAATTGCCATTCCCTCTGCTTTTGTTAAGGAGTTATTCTAACTAACAGACAGCCTCGTTGGTTGTGTAAGTGCATAATCGTTAAACAAATGAAACTGTAATCTAAATTGAAGCGGATTTTAGCCAAGAGCATCAAAAATCTTGGTTCTTGCAGAAACCTGGCGATTACGGATGCGAACCTTGTGTTGGGACGGATCATGCCGGAGTACTTTCCTAAAATTTTTGGTCCTAACTGTAATCAGCCTTTGGATAGGTTTGTAATGCCGTTGAACTAATTTTGTTCCTCATAAGAATGTTTTCCTAACGTTCCATTTATTAAGCGAAGCCACTTATTCTGCCATGAGGGACCTAACTGAGAGAATCAATGGGTACATCAGAAGTAATCCAGATGCCATACAAAAGGAATACACTGTCGAAGAGGTCTACCGTGATGTGCTCTACGGGATTTCAACTAATTTTGATAAAAGTTTAAGGCTGCATTGGGATTTGTGAATGTCGCTAATGAAGAGATGTGTCGCCCTATTAGAGCTATTACCCAGGTGGGATATGTTTCTATTTATATTATTAGCCAGCCTCACATTTTCTAAACCGAAGTTTTTTTTTTCGAAATCTAAAAGTTTGTCATGTAGGTTCATGGAATGCTTCATTAGAGGCGTACCTCATGGTATTTTCGGGGTATCTAGTCTCGGACTGCTAAGTAATTATTGTCTGGAATAGAGCAAAAGTTGCGAAGAGAAGACGAAAATCGGTGTATTTAAAGAAATATAAGGCTTCAACAAATCAGTAAAATTAGGAGTTGGACGAAAGTGGGACGACAAAAATGTATGCAAGGGATATCTGGACGAATTGCCCTAATATCTAGGCCATAATTTACAGGTGGCTTGCCTGTGTGCAACATGAGGGTCCCGTTGCGAATGATGCAATCCCTGTGCCTCTGCAACTCCTGAGAACTCATCCACCTTCGCGTGTACGTCGGCCACGCCGGTTTCGGTACCATTATTAGGCTCTATCCGTTTTTGACCCAACAGCATCCATTGTGCTATCCTCGAGAGCAACAAGTTCATACCAGAGTGCAATCTGAGAATTCCTTTTGAACGTAGCTGGGTCTTTAAGAGGATTTCTGAGCAAATAAGCACATGGCATTTTTTATAATTAACTCGAGCATATCCTAGTAAAGTGCAAAGTGAAAATGAAGTCGAATTTATTTGCTTAACTGTAATCTGAATGGATATCTTGGTAAAGAAGAAAAGAGTTAGTCATGTTCGGGAGATTTTTTTAGGAGTACCAACATACAGCTCTACTCCTGACACACCGCCTGAGTCCTGATCATTAAACCACCGGATCCAACCTATTTTATTCCCCTTTTTTGCAGGGTGTAAAGGCTATTCAGTGATTTATCTAGTACCTATGCACTTATGTTAGACTATAATTTCAGCTCTGGCTCACGTCATTTCAGATGTAAAACAATACAAGCCACTTCCAGGCTCGAGGCTACGATACCTCAGTGCACATACTAGCATGCTTCGGAGGTGCCGGCGGACAACACGCGTGTGCTGTTGCTCAAAGCCTAGGTAATTTTGTGTCTCTCCAGTTATACGACGGCGTTAACGAGTTCAATGGTCTCCGAGGCAAAGACAATTCTGGTATTCAGGCATAAGCACCGTCTTGATCCACAAATATGCAAGTCTTCTGTCCGCTTATGGAATTGCGATGGCTAGAGTGGTGAGCGAAGTACAAGAACCCGTAAACATAGTATTTTCAGCTGGTCGGTGTGCTGATCCTTTATTCTTCAATTTTGAACAGGGGAAGAAGATTCTAAACCCAACATTGTCTTTTAGAAAGTATGCCTATGTTTGCTGAGCGGTTAGCTGCTCTTTCGAAAAAGGCCAAAGAGGACCTCAACCAGCAGGGCTTCAAAGAGGTCCATTGCGAGCATTTTTTGCATATGCGATTTGCCAGAACCGATTGTGCTATCATGATCACAGCCGATTATGATCCCGAGGTAATTTCTGCCTTAGTGGTGATCGTTTTCTTGAAGAAGGCAAAATCACTAAACGTTGGATTGCAGAATCCTCAGACCTTGAACAACTTCGTGAAAACGTTCTACACTAACTATAAGCGAGAATTCGGTTTCGTACTGGAAGACCGTGACGTAATTGTCGATGACATACGGTTGGTTGCAAATGGAATACCATGAAGTGAAATCCGATTTAAGCTCTGGAGAGCGCTTATTTCAGAGTTCGTGGAGTTGCTTCTTCTGGGATAAAGTCCGACGAGCGCATTGAAATGACATCTGATCCCGATAGCGCAGTGCCTTTGACCCATACGAAAACCTTTTTCGAGGTAGCAATCATTTTACTGTGGTCCTGCAGACAGTGAAACATGTTTGAGAGGTCGCTTTTCAGGAAGGTTTCCTGGATACAGCAGTTTACGATATTACAAATCTCCTGGGTGGACATCATATAAAGGGGCCTGCAATGATCATCGACAAGAACAGGTATGCTCGTCCTATGTGATTTATTTGTTCATAAAGTTACATGTTACAGTACGATCGTTGTGGAACCACTGTGTTCGGCCACCATTACTCCAGAAGGCAGCATTAGGCTAAACGTTCAGAGGAAACAGGAGCAGAACATTACAACTAAATTAAGTAACAGAAAAAGCTACCTCAACTGAGGTTCTCATAATGCCCTGAAGGGCATGGATAGCAATGTTTTTGGATGAATGGATCGATTTCAGGTGGACCCAATTCGACTATCAATTTTCTCAAATCGTTTCATGTCGATAGCTGAACAGATGGGACGCGTTCTTCAACGAACAGCTATTTCTACGAATATCAAGGTGCAGTCGTTTGTACACTTTTTCATTGACTTATCTTTCTCAGTACAAATTTACGACATTCGCCTTTTAAAAATAAGGGATAGGCTGAGTTCGAGCGTGGTGTGAACAGAGCCCTCAGTCCATAAGCCGCTGATGTCTTCCACGCCTGTTTGTGGTTGATTGAGGTCTGCTACCAACATCCGTCCCTGTCAAGTGTTCAACCCCTATTCCAAAATGGCTATGTCCGAGAAAGCTTAGAGCAATGTGTTCTGGTTGGTGTTTCCTATCACACCAATAATGGCCAGAGTGCCTGAGTAGGTCTTGGGGTTTGAGGACATCCAATACTTGATAGTATCTGCTTTAGGAGCGACTTGACTTCTCGTGTGCTCTGTTTGATCCCGAAGGTGGGCTGATAGCCAATGCACCCCACATCCCTGTTCACTTGGGTAAGTGTTGCGGACATTTGTTCTTTTTAATAAGAGAAGGCTTTTTGTGCTAGGAGTCTGGTCGATTTTCAGGTGGTATGCAGTATGCTGTACGTTACCAGATCGATCATCTTGGATTAGACGGGATTCGCAAGGGTGATGTCATCCTTTCAAATCATCCGAGAGCTGGCGGGAGCCATCTGCCTGATCTAACTGTAATCACTCCGGTAGGGTAGTACTTCTAAATGCTTACGATTTGGATTTCTCTTTCAGTTTGTTTACAGAATAAGGGGCTGTCAAATGTTCTAGTTTAGGTGTTCTTTGAGAATATTGCAAATCCAGTGTTCTTTCTGGCTAATCGTGGTCATCATGCTGACATCGGTGGTATTGCGCCGGGCAGTATGCCACCGAATGCTACGTCTTTAGATCAGGTTTTGCTTCGTACAAGCATTTCGCTATAGTTGATGTTCACAATCATTCGAAAGTCTTAACCTATATAGGAAGGAGCTACCTTCGTCTCATTCAAAATCGTTGAAGGAGGAGTTTTCCGTGAGGATCTTCTCAATGAAAAGTTGAACAAACCTGCAAGTATACCCGGTATGATAGAGGAATTTATTTGCGTTACATTGAGGTAATATATATAGTAGTAGATCATATGAATGATTGTATGATTTTAAGGTTGCTCCGGTACCCGAAATCTTGCAGACAATGTAGCTGACTTAAAAGCACAAATTGCAGCTAATAATAAGGTAAACATTAAACCCATTAGTGAATCATCGATAACTATCAACGAAATAGTTTCGTTGGACCTATGGTTGAACCTGGTTGCCAAAATGACAAACAAATTTTTATTCGACTTGCGTTCAGGTTTTTTCCGCCTGTTATCTGTTTCTTTTTTTATATTATTTTATGTCTTTTTTTCGGCTATTTTTCGCTTTATTAACGGAATAACTGTTCTGCCTTATGTCTAACGAAGGATTCCGTTAATAGTCTCACAATTTTGGCGAAATATAGACAAAACTCCCTCTCCGTACAGGACGGGTTTGAGTCCTGGTCAATGCCAAAGTTTTGTCCATAACTCGCCAACCTTGTGAGACTTTCAATTTCATCCAAGTTCAAGACAGCCCTGCTAAAATGTAGACTAAACAAGCGGGTACTTAGGAAGGAAGGTTAGGGTATGCTGTAACATTTGGAAGCAGTGAGGGCGATGAGGCAGAATTAAATAGACTAATTATTATTTGCAAATAATCTTCAGTTTTTTTGTAAGCGCTAATTTCCATTAAGGGAATTTCACTGGTATGCGATCTCATAAGTGAATATGGTCTTGAAGTGGTACAAGCCTACATGCTGCACATTCAGTCCACGGCAGAAGAAAGTGTAAGGGAAATGCTCAAAGAGGTCAGGTTCTTTTAACATGAATTCTAACTTTTCACATCATTCCATAACTTGCTCGTTTAAGGTTGGGAAAAAAGTCTTTGAACGAACTGGAACCACACGACTACATGCCTCTGATTCGATGGATGACGGGACAGTGATACAATTGACTATCACGATCGACGTTGAAAAGGTCAGTCATCCATTCAATGCACACAAAAGATACGATGATGTTGTTTTCACGGTTAATAATCAGCTTAAAGTATGGTCAAATTCTGGGAAGTCCTCTTTTCACTACGCATCTTTCGTTTCAGGGAGAAGCATTATTCGATTTTGCTGGCACTGGAATGGAAGTGATTTCGTCATGTAATTGTCCAAAGGCTGTCACCATGTCAGCAATTATTTATTGTCTGAGATGTCTCGTAGGAAAGGATATCCCTCTCAACAGCGGCTGTCTCAATCCCATAACTGCAAGTTTTGATGTTTCAAAATCAACTATCTAGTTTTCAATTTATATCAGGATCTTCAAGCAATTCCGGGTATTTTGGTGTGGGATTGGACTCCAAGCTGTTTACAAGAACTTCTTAGTGACTTGGATACAGCGAAATTTCAGAAAAAAACATGAACATGCATAAAAGTCTCGGTTTTTTTCTTCCGACGGTGGCCAACACTGTTGTGGTGTTTTTGCTCGTGAGGGTTTTGGATAACCTCAGTAGGCACAACTGTGAAATCAGGTTTAAAACTACATGAAAGAAGCACAAAAAACCTAAATACTCCTATTTGTAGATTTCGATTCCCGAGGGTACATTGCTTTCACCTTCTGAAGGGGCTGCTGTTGTGGGTGGCAATGTTTTGACGAGTCAGAGGCTCTGCGATGTTATTTTTGGAGCTTTTGAAGCTGTGGCTGCTAGTCAAGGTGAACTTTTTGTATCTTCTAAAAGTGCTTTCTTACTAACGAGGTGTGAAGTAAACAATGAGAGATGATGTCTCCTTTTTCGCTCAAGAAAATCAGCCCTTTTAGGCTGCATGAATAATGTGACATTCGGTGATGAAAAAATGGGCTACTATGAGACGCTGGCTGGAGGTGCTGGGGCTGGTGAGGGATTTCATGGTAGGAGTGGAGTTCACACCCATATGACCAATACAAGGATCACCGATCCGGAGATTCTGGAGAGTAGGTGTGTTGGCTTTGCGGTACCGATTCCCAGTATTCCTGAATCTTCACACAATAAGGTTCGTCCAGGAAAAGTTACGTGTCTTTACAGATATCCTGTTATTCTTCGCGAATTTTCGCTGCGGGAACATTCTGGTGGAGATGGAAAATGGCGTGGAGGAGATGGAGTAATTCGATGTCTTCAGTTCAGACGGCCTCTTACGCTATCACTGCTGACTGAACGACGGTAGGAGTAATGCTTGCAACCCTGCGTTTTTCGAACCATACGATTCTTTTGCAGTGTATTTGCTCCATATGGCCTAAAAGGTGGAAGCGACGGTGCACGTGGTGTGAATGTGTTGAAAAAGCGTTCGCGAACTGTGAACCTTGGTGGGAAAATCACTTTACGGGTCGACGCTGGGGTGAGTAGTCTTCATTCCAGATTTCATTGATCTAGATGTTCACTATTTGTGGCCTTTCCATTCAGGATATACTTGAGCTGCAGACGCCTGGCGGAGGAGGTTATGGTACCAAGTAACAGAGATGGCTGTAATCAAATTACGTGTTAACATTCAATGTCTTAATCAAATATTAATAGTATCATTCAACTCAAGAAACGATTTTAATGATATTGTCTTCGTTTGATCTCACTTTCCAGTTCCAAATAGTAGTATTTGGAGGTAGGTAGGTAGGTTATTTTTTCTAATGATTTGAGGTCAGGTGGTAGTAGTATGGGTATCTGAATGATACGATAGTCGTACTAGGTTAAAGAACACAGTTAGACAACGAAGCGGAGTAGGGTCGTCAATTTATTCATGTCTGTTGCATGCTGTGTAAAGCGGGATTTTGGCTCAGCAATGAGTAACTGCTGAGCTTGCGACTGCTCTCCTTTATAGTGTTCTCGCCATCGCCTGCCCTTCACTGGGTGTTGGGTAGAGTCTACTTCAACTTATCATGTCTAGCGTTTACTATTCAGTGGCGTAACAGATAACCATTCCTAATACTCGATCCTCTCCAGCCTTTCTACTACGTATTCATGATCCGGTGTACGCCCAAAATGTATTCGAAACGATTTTTTGTAGTCGTTCCACGAAAATGCGTGTTTTCACACTACTTCCTTTATGAAGAGAACTGCGGAAATCCTCAGAAAATCTAGGGAGCATAGGGAGAACCCCGGCTGCTTACTGGTTATTTGTTTTTACCCTAATCAGTTCGCTAGCGTTGTATCGTTGGCCATTCAGACTCCTCCAAAATCTGTCACCAATGCTGAATCTGGCTGGGCACTAAACCGGAGCCTTTTTCGTCTCCCCCAAAATATGTGTTTTCCTTCACCGCTGACTGAAGCTGCACTAGGTGTTTGCAAATCGGATGGGGGAGGTCGCTATATTTTAGGATGAGGCAGTTTTTGTGGAGTTCCGCATGCAGCAATACATATCTGAACAGTTGTAACGGGGTCGAAAGGCATACGTATGAGTTGTTCACAATGTTTACTTGCAAATGAGACTTCATAAAATAAAGAAGGCGAAGAAGTATTATTACTTGGAAGAAGTTAGACAATGTATATGCTGTTAGGGTCATTGGCCAAGACGCACTGAAAGCTGGAAATGCTTTGCCCAATTCTCGTTGTTGCTGAAACTCTCANGTTGTAACGGGGTCGAAAGGCATACGTATGAGTTGTTCACAATGTTTACTTGCAAATGAGACTTCATAAAATAAAGAAGGCGAAGAAGTATTGTTAGCTTGGAAGAAATTATACAATGTATATGCTGTTAGGGTCATTGGCCAAGACGCACTGAAAGCTGGAAATGCTTTGCCCAATTCTCGTTGTTGCTGAAACTCTCATTGCTGCCATTCACTACTTCACTACTGCTATTCAGTAAAAAGGTGTCACTTGAATGCTTGCCACAAATCAAGCTGTCTTCATAGGTAAAACTGGATTTGTTGGTTAAGTCCTCTCAATGAAGTTGGAGGCCGACTGGGAAACCTTTTAGTGTTTTGATCTTTCAATACACGCCTAGAAGTTCGTGTAGTTGATAGCCTCGCTAAGGAGGATTATCGTGTACTGCCCAAATGTTCTCAGGTCTGAAAAAAGATAGTACACTCCTTAATCTTAAACGGAAATCCCTCTCCGAATACTTGATCTGATTTGTAAACGACTGTCACTTCTCCGTAGGAGACAAAAAACATGGGAAAAAACCTCCGAGCCTTCGGACTTCTCTGCAAACGTTCCCGAACAGATGTCGATCGGATGTTTCTATGAGAAGAAGTAAATCGCCATCTGATCTGTACCGAAAGCAGCAGGAAGTCGGAAAAACGTGCCAACTAAATGGGAATCAGGATGCTTCTTCGGACCGTGTAGTTGATAACCTGCTTCTTTGGACCAGAGAGATCAACCGATTCGACAATTACTGCATACTACGTCTACTCGTCGTTACCTTCTACAAAGGTCGATTTAGTGGTCATCATATTACGTTATGAAAGGTTTCGTGTTGATAGTCATCTCTGACAACTGTTCCACCCCTCCCGTTCCCGGGCGGAGAGGTCGGTGCCCAAGTGATCCTGGGTTTACAGCCACCTTAACATTGCCCATCCCATTGGAGGCACGTCGTGCAATGACAATGAAGACAAGAAAAGCTTTTTCACTTGCTCTCCTTCATAAGGTGGATGCCAACTCCTTTATTGACAATGGGTTCAGAGGAAGGAAAATCGATAGTACGGCTGAAATAATCGTCATCTATTATACAGGAGTTTACGCCTACTAGCCCATCCAGGCCAATCTATTGGGGTAGTCCTTCAACAGGCGACAGGTCTCGAAACATATTTTTAATAGAAGCGACATGTAGGTACCTCAAAGGGTTGCCAATAATGTTTTCCTGGGGTTAGGCTGGGTTAGGCTTAAGATTACTGTCTGTCACATTCCTTTCTTGCGTACAAACTACTTTCAAAATAACATAAACCAGCAACATCATAGAAATAATTCATAATTAGATAAACATATATGTATGTATGTACGTAAAATCCAATTTAAAACTTGGTTAAGCATCATTGATAAGATATCACATTAATCATGAATATCTCGAACACAACTGAGTAAGTAGTACATGACGGGAAAAANAAAAATGCTGCTAACAAAACTAAAACGCTACGAAGGGGCGACTCAAGCCTTCTATGTGTACCACATATCATTTGTCCGTAGTAAATCATGTGCGTTTATGTTTATGATTAACTATAAAACTCTAGCAGATAGAAAACAATTCGCTTAGCTCTTACAGAGACCTTCAAAAACAAGAGGATTGTAGATGTGATAGGAACGTTGGCAGATTTTCGAGTGAAATACAGCTATCACTGAATGTTGACGCTGAAGCGACTATTTGGGCTCCCAAATACGCTGCATTGTACCTCCATGGGGATATGTGTACCTGAAAAAAATGAATTTTGTAGAAAGTATCATCATTCAGCAAGAAACAAACTTTGGCAAACTCCATACCTGGGTATGAATAGAGTTCGGTACAATGGCGGCAAGTTCTTGTTCCAACTTCTCGGCCAAACCGGGCATTAAGGACGCTCCCCCAGCAAGATAGATATTCCTACAAATGACACACTTCGAACTAGATCTACAATATTTTGTAGTGGTTCTATGCTGCCCTACGCCTTTGTAATGATTTTCATGCCAATTTGGAAGGAAAATGTTGAACATCAGAACTACTGACAGAAGAAATTCGGATCGAAAGCTAAACTCACCTGTAAAGAGTTCTCCTGCTGTCGATTGGGCTCATCTGGACGGCTTCATGTACCAGCTGATGCAGGCCTTTGGTATCAAGACCCCACTTCTTCGGGCGGAAAAGGCCTTCTGTGCAGAGGAACCGTGAGTTATCTATCTGAAATGAGATGAACACTTCACTATAGGCCATAGCAAATCAGAGAAAAAGGAATAAGGGACGTAGAAACACATCTGGGTGAAATTAAATAAATCAGTCATATCGACTGTAAGAGCAAGGTCCGCTGTTGACAGCCAGTTCGGTCATTACATGATTAAATAAGCAAAGAAGAGGTAGTCGAATATGTTATGCGTATACAATTGGGTAATGCCCCCACATAAAAACCCCCAGTGAATTCCAGAAAGTCCCGAAAGAGTCTGAACTATTGCGAAATTTTCGGCAGACACTTTTCACACGACATAATAACCTAGTAGTCAACAGCTATAAATTTTAAATATGATGAAAGGGTAGGAGATTATGAGGTTAGCAGCCTCACTGATAGAGCAAATTGTTCACTATTAGAACAGAAACGAATGCATTTCAACTGCAGCAACTATCTCAATTTTGTGGAAATTCTAAAATGTTTTGTAAAAATTCTAAAAATCAACTCACGCTGAATTTCGTTGGCATCCCTGGGAGAGGGTCAAATCGATCAAGGGATATATTGACTTCTTTTGACGTCTTTTCCTCTTGTGTGTAGTCATCAGGGACGTAGCTTGTCTAAAAAGAGGCATTTAAGGGATCAGTATTGTGAACGTGGATAGGTGACCACACTCAACTAATTTAGTCTAGTTTCTGCTAGAAACACTAGCACACACTATATGGTTTACATACGCTACATACACTTACTCTGCGGCCATGAAGAGTAGCCTATAATCATTGTCACTCTTTACTGACTTCATTTATTGGACGTCGTGTGGAGAGACATGGCATACTATGTAGCTTGAGAAAGCATAACAATGACAGAAATTTCTACATCTACTCAATCGAGATGTACTCACACTGACCTGTTCCAAGACGTAGCGCAGAATGAGCTTCTCTATGGGGCTCTGGAATGAATACAGTCCTTTGTTATTCGAGCACAAGGTGGTCCGTAACGCTTCTCGCACTTGAGTTGCTCCATATGGTATTGAACAGATCGCTGACTCAACAACATAACCTAAAGAGATAAGTAAGGGCTCCCGCCACCTGACAGCTCATTTCAAAGTGAGCTCCTAAACGCACCATCAATAACAGGAACAATGTTCAAGCGATCTCCAATGTCGACAACTACACCTGTGGTAACATCATATGCGTAAAGGATCAAAGACGGTTGGCGTGTAATAGCGGCACCCTAAAAGTAAAAAATTGCGGTACGTTTTCCATAGGTACCCCCAGATAAAAACAAGATAGCAACTGTGACATACTTGGAAGCCGATGTCCTTCAAGGCGAGTGTGAGTAATTCACCGATAAGAGCAACAGGGATGTTTTGTGGAATGGACAGAAGGACCTAAATGAACCAATACGATAGCCACATAGCGACAGCCCAAGGAAGAAATCACCAACGGACCTTGTACTGCGAAGGATTCACATTGAGGTCTTTGACAACCTTTTTCATGCACTCTTTTACGACCTCACGATCCATAGTGTATCGCTCAACATTAGGATCCAACGCTTGAATCGGACGAACAAATTCTCCATGATGGCGGATCTGAAACAGGAAATTTGTCAAAATAAAAATATCACAAGACAAAGAACAAGAACGAAGTAAAATTTTTCGAAACTATTAAATTTTGGTTTGAGAACAGCCTTGTACTTCAGTCCATAACCCCAATAGACGCGGTGGACGCGGTCAGCGCAAAACCCCTCGCCGTGTCTTTAGATGTCGTCCACATGTGTTGCAGCGTAAAATTCATCGACGGGAGCTGGCAGCTCCCGTTCCCCGCTATCATAAACCCGAATTCGCCCTTTCAAAAGTGCGTATTGTTCTCGTTCCTCAGTTAAATGCGACTCGTGCCATTTTTATGTACTGATACAGCTGTCATGCAAATAATGAATGTCCGCCCATGGTCGTTCACTCTACCCTTTTGCGTGCTATGATAGCTGCTGTTTTGTCACGTGGAAAAACAAAATCCTTATGACAAAACTATTATTCTAACGAGTGGAAATGGAAGCTGTGGNGAAAATCATAAGCATAAAGCCAACCACAAATTAGACAACTAGCTGTCCCCAGTGTGTGTTTCCCGGACAAAAGTTTGAGAAAAACACAAATTCCAGTTTTCAAAACGCTGAAGCGTTGGATAGTCGTTGTTGCCAATGGGATGTTACTTTCAATGTTCATTGAGTTTGAGGAATTGGGATGCCAATCAACTATGTCACTGACAGATCGTTTTTACATTGCGTATGTGAACTGTGGCGCGTTGTTCACAAAACTACCATAATCCTAATTCACTCTCTCGTCCAAAAATAAAACGTTCAGATAAATTTCCAATAACGCTCAGCATGTGGGTGAAACTTTTACCCAAAATAACAGCGAAAAGACCCCTTGTCATAAAGTAAAGGACGAAATCAAAAATGTACCTCAGGAGCATAGGCGTCTTCACCGACAATAATTCGACCGTCATCTGTACGTACAGCGATGGCCGGGAAGAAAGACTGCGGAAGGCTAGGTTCAGTTGTCAGCACACCACCACGAATAGAACAGGAACCGATTTCAAGCACAACCACTCGCTGAAAAATGGAAAGTTGAAAACAAGTGCATTCCTAAGTGCATAACACTGACTTCACTAGTGTTCAACTCAAATTTCATGAGCACCACCAAGATTGACAAGAAGAAACTGAGTTAGGCTTCTAACTGATGCACTCCAACTTGGATGCTGCCAAAATTAGAGACATAGTCCTATATCTTCAATTCTCCTTTCCAGAGTCCCATTCTCTCATGTCCCTAAGATTCCCTGAAGGAACAGCATACATACTCGCAGCGCGCAATGGCCCCAAGTTGAGTGTCTGCACCGACAACACCCAGGACCAAATAGGAAATTAATACAAGTCACTTCCCAGAAGCTGGTAGGCCCCTTCTGACCTTTCATTTCAAATGGGGCTCTGACAACGACACTTCCTGTATATAACTTTGGGCACAATACGATGGTCTTCAAGAAGGGGTCTGCACAAGTTTGGCTTCAAAGAGCCTTTTCACGCGACGAATTCTCACCTCGGTAAGATGCTGGAACGTCTTCGGAATCGGTTTAACATAGGCATCAATTTGTGATGAAGCAGCATGGGAAAGAAGTGAATGTCGCCATTTGTCGAACACATTCGATTGTACGCTAAATGAATCGTGCAATTTAAATTGTCGTCGTCAACGATATTTTCGTCTATTCCAAATGTTTACAGAATGCAATTTTGTTCTCAAATGCTCGTGTGGGTGGCAACTTCGTCAACACCACTAGATCTCAGTTCCCAGATGACACAAGTTGTTTTCGTTGGCTAAAGCCGAGAAAAGAAACAGAAACCACTACTCAAATATTGTTAGGCGAAAGCCGTAAACATCCCTATGGCTGTGAACAAGATGCCAGACGCCGGAAAGCTGTGACAAACATGAAACTCATGTTTTGTTAGTTGCATCCGTTTCGCCTCTGTGCATAGTGAAAAACAGCTAATGAAAACTGACGATTCAGAGAATAACGGCGAAAACAACAACGCAACTAAGGGGAGATTCGAGATAACACTCTTTTTCGAAGAGCCGTTCAAAATAGAAACCTCAACGATAATGCAAGCCGAGGAATGTTGTTTTCTTCTCGAGAACTGAACATACCGTAATGTCATTCTGATATGATCGCGTCCGCCATGAATGGTAAGCGTTCGTTCATCTCTGTTCGCGTCCACGTCGACACCAGAGAGCACTATTTCTTCAGCCGGCGCTTCATCAGCACAGTGGGACTGAAAGTAAGAAATGTGAGCGATGTAGAAAAAGGTGATTTCTGACGAGTTGGCAATCTTTAAGAATCCCTTAGACATGTTTTCCCTTCCAATCAGGACCCAGCGCTTACTGTAATCTTTTCAAAATAAAAGCCTCACAAGTCAAGCTGGTAATCTATGCTATGTACCGCTTCCTCTCAAGGCTTCGTACGTCATCCCCTTCAATCCCTATGACATTAATCCAATCCAGCAATGCGCTATACATATTCCTTTTACGATGACCGAATGCTTGAAACAGATGTTCTGCTCAACTGTTTCGGATCTTCTTGGCTGCGTTTTATGGCAGGACCACGGGGAAAAAGTTCCTAAAAAATGGCAAAGTGGATAGGTCGAGTTTCATCGGCTCCCAAGATAAGCCCCCATCAAGATCCTCATTACATCAAACGCGAGTTTGGCCCATGCGATGTCCCGTAGTTGCCCTCTAATGAAGTTTTTATGATCCCTGCGAGGTCAAGCGCTGATTAACCGAGCTCGAAGAAAGGCAACAATTGGTTACAACTGGTTCGAGGTCCCGATATAAGACGCAGCGTATTCCGTCACTGGACTAATCCGTTTTCCATATTCGCGCAGATTATTTACAGTTGCCATAGTCACAGGAATTATAGTAAATAAATCTGCTCTTCCATCAGTATCAAAAACGTATTCGCTAAAAGAAAATCACCGCTGATCAATACCTATGCTTATTTCAGAGTTTCAGAGAGGAGATTAAAACAGAACTGAACGTTTTACAGAAAAATGGAAGTCATCATGCTGTATTCCACCTCTTCTACAACCTAATTTGAATCTATTTAGAAGACAATTCTGGGGTATTCAGGAACTAATAACACCTACAATAACAACCAGTTGTGAACCCAAACCGGAAGATCAAGGATTAGGTGCCTAGATGATGATGATGAGACCAAACAGAGAGCCCTAGGGCATATATGTCCTCATGCCAAAACGAAAAACCATTCGAGATTCCACTGCATAGCTTATCATGAGCATCTTTGAAGTACTAGACTGGTTACCACTTCACGGAACAGAAATAGTAGGTCACCTATGTGATTGTTACTGATCATTACTAGGCCTCTCAGAGGGGTTGAATGTGAATCTGACTGGCTTTCCAAGTCCCTGCATCGGCAATATTGGGGCAGTTGGAGTATACAAGCGACATTAATTTCGAAGGCACGTCCAAGGCGTGGCGCATCACAAAAAGGACAACGCCTTTATCGTTCTGACAATTTTTTTTGCATTAATTCATTGCAAGGTACGATTGTTCAATACGTCAAAGATGTGGCAAAGAATTATTGATGGCGGCACTGAATGCGTCATGAACGGGGCTGTGATGTGACACTTCTACAGTATTCCATTTTTGGCAGAATCGGCATTTCTTACTGCTCAGAGCTATGGGATTGCTGAATGAATATTCTCTAATTTTCTCAACAGCGGCTTTTTCCCTACGTTCGATATTACAGTAACCTAATTAAGTAATGACATACCACAAAAATCTGTAACCTTCCTTCCTTGGTACGCATATACAGCTGTTTCCAATGTCTTTCCAATTCGGCTACGGTGGATGTCTCATCTGAGGGCACCTCAACATGACCTTCCATACTGATAAAGCGATTCCGTTTTGTCTCCACTCGTGGCTCATACGACACCTGAAATATATAAACAACTAATACATATCAGTTGAATTCTGCAAACTTTTTAGTGTTTTTTTTTTCAAAATTTCCGGAAGGCTCAAGGATTTGAGGAGGAACAAAGTTCCCTTAAATGATCTTTGAAGCGTTCAGCCGATCCCTGTCGTAGTGTGTTCGTCAAAAAGTCAACAACGACAGCCAACCGGTTCCTCTTATTATTGACACATCTACAATAAAAACCGTTTGCTACGGCACTTCTGGCGCTAACTCTCTGGAATGAAGTTTCTTTCGCTGACGATAGAGGAAAATTAAGTTGGTAAAGGTGCCCTGACCTGTGGGATCTAGATTGTCGACATTCCAGCTCACCTCATATAGGGCTCTCACTAGAGCTCGAGGATTCCAATCTCTCAACACCGCATTTTCTTCTCCAATGATCTTCTCCGGGTGAGGAATGTTGCCGTTGTGTGCATAACTTTCAATATCAGGCATTTTTTGTTTTTGTTGGGAGATATTCACGTGATCGTAGGTTTTGACGGGCCACGAACGCTGACCAGATCCGTTCCTTTGAAGAACTACCGGCTCCTGAAACAATTCTCANTGAACAATTGAACATGCAGCGAACTGATGAAATTCTAGTCGGGATGGCACCAGTTATAAGAACGGTTGGAACCAAGTTAAAATAGAACAGCTGACAATTCACAAGATTTGGAAATGCGACGCGAAATCGGGCGAAAACACGAACTTGCTCCGTTTGCCCCGCCTCCTTTGAAGCGTTTGTTGTTTCAGTGTGATGGCCGTAGATGGAAGACGAAGATTCTTGGCCGCTATGATGGCTAACCACGGTATGCCTTTCTTCAAAAGAATGTACGACAGTTGTACTTTCTCGTGTTCTATAAATATAACTGATAAACAAAACGGAATGGAAAAATTAAATTTAGCGCCTAAATGACGAAACTTCTAAGTATTTAGTTTAACTAAAGCGGTCTTGGACAAGAGAGAAGTTAGAATGAAACCTAAAAAGCGAGTCTTTCCGTCAGCAAGAGGCAAATTCTAACTTAAAAACCCGTTTTTCCGCATAGCTTCAACCACTTTTCACAATATTTGATTGCATATTCGTAAAGAACACATCAGAGGTTGTCAGTCTAATGTCGAGGACAGGGATTACATTGTATAAGAAGCCCGCAGAACACGATGTTGAAAAAAATACGATCAAAGAGAAAAAAGTTGCTTCTTAAGCTACTGGCATGCGCTGATCCCTCTAAAAGGTCATTTTTCCCAGACAGTTCTACACTTTTTCGTCCTGATAGTCTTTTTCGTACCGCTAAAAGCCCTCCACTTCGCACATGGTGAGAATAGACAGCGATAAAAATTGAAAGTGTATCGATAAATAGTCATATGGTATGCAGCTCTAAAGTTTGGTGTTCGACCACTCGAAATGGAACCAGTCGGCATGGCTACGTATGGTACATGTTTAGCATAGCTTACAATTCGTCACAGGATTACGTCGGTAAAATTTGCAAACGAAAAAGAGTCACGTAATCAAAAGGTAGTAGAGAAAAGTAGATGTTAAGGACTTTGAAAAATAAGTAAAGGATCCGGATCAGTATCTGTAGCGACAATAGGACCGTGGCTGCATCTACCGCACCTCCACCGCGGCCTTTCATCAGTATATCCTATGATGATGCTATATGGCCATAAGCCTGGAATCTAGGAAAAAGGAGTCTTCAAAGAACGAACATCGAGGCTAAGAAATCCAAATCTAACTGGACCTATTAATAGCACCTGTTCCCTTTTTGCCATCAACTACGATATAAACAAGAGCAAAGCAGACATCCATAGCCTCTTGCAGACGTTCACACCCCCTTCGAGAAATAGGAAAAGATGGCTCGAAATGAAAAAAGGAAAAGGATTGAAAGAAATATTATTCGTGTACTGCCTTCGATGATAGACTGAGACTGAAGATAGATTCACAAAAAGGAATCGATATTAAACTTCATATTTAACGCTGATCCCAGATCGATATCCGCCCAGGCCAACCAAAGCTTCCAGCCCTCCGGAGCCGGTCAATTGGTACCAGACTCGTCTGGGAGTATAAAAGCACTAACTTGTACATCGTCTGGCCACCGCAAGTCATTTTATAGACCACATACGCACTCAATACGCCACTACGATTCTGAATGAATCGAATGCGGGATCGCACCTCCCAAACGGTCTTGATTGAGGCCCAAAGACTATCTCTATCCTCATTCAACACTGATATGTATGGCTGGATACTGTTTTTCTTTCCACTTCAGGAACTTAGTAAAAAAAGGTTTCCTTCGTGGCCTCGCGACACTGAATCTAACCATAAACACTTGCACACGTAGTTCATGCTTACTATTCATCAAATCTACGGTAGAACTAGAGCAAGGATTGGGGCTCGGGATCCAGTTTCACTGTTACGGCCTCTACTACTCTCCAGAGACATCAAAGGACAAGTGGTAGTGAAATTGAATAGATAGGTGCATTGCATGGAACAAGTTCTATTTTGGCTAGTACGCTGCTAAACTTACGCCACTCGTAAATCACTGTTCTAGCAGACTCTAAATGCACTCCCCACTACAATTCCCCTATGACAGGGTGGGTAGAACACCCTCGTACGGTCTCCACCCTGCCAGTTGACCACTGTTTCGCCAAGGTACATGGCTTCACCAAAGCGGCCTCAGAAATGTCCAGTACGATCTATGCCATAAAATCCCATACAAAGCCGGAAAAAGCTAAGGAACCGCGAGGGAAGCGAATATATCGAAAAAAGGACTAGCAGAATGTTACAACCCAATAAAAAAAAGAAATGGTAGGCGGGATTAACATTACATTCTCTGCAGAGAAGAAAAAAAGTAGTTGTTCCAGGCACAAAAATCTATCACAATCGACAAAAGGTTTGTGCGAAATACACGATTTTTTGTTACCTCGACAGAAACCGGAACAACCATTGAATTTAGCATGGCAAACGCTTCGATGAAGGTGAATAGCCAATCTGGTATGTTCACGAACACGATCAATTGGAAATGGTCTATTGCTATGTCATCGGGTGACACGAAAATTTGACAATTCAATGTCATGCATGCAATAAACTGTCAGACACCCATGGAATTAGCACGATTGAATAAAAACAAATTTCGGAATCATGGCATGGAACAACATGCTTTGAAAAGTTCATAACAAGGACTGCTCATGTCCGAACCACAGCTCCCTCTATACGCTTTTCAAAATATGTACTAAAGCTCCAAAACATGCCACATCCGACTACATCAAGTCCCCATTCTACTTCTACAACTAAAGTGAATTTGTCCTTCAAAATAAATAAATGTAGGGGAATGAGCTCTTCGAAATACGGCGAATAATAATCGTTCAGATAATATCACCACCTATAAATGGAATAGCACTGAAATGGATGACGATTTCCGCCAATCTTAACCTAAATCTCTAGAACGAGATAAGATTGACCGCTGCGTAGAGAGGAAGCGCTTAGACTAAGTGAATCATGCATTCAGAAAGAGGTGACGTAAACCGCGGCCAAGGACAATGCTGCTTTTAAAAACCTCTCCGGGATGGAAATTCTAGATGATACCGATCGAAAAATAAAAACAAACGGGAGAAATTTAATGAATAGAAAATCGTGAATCAACAGGGATTAGGGGCCGAATTGTCACAAACAGATGCCAACAAAACAATGCATCAATGCACATAGCATGAGGATGCAGCGAGATTAAACTGACAGATGACAAATTGACAGATGAGAAATAGCTGGAAAGGTGAGGATCAGTGGTGATCACTGTGAACCTCAGAAAAGTCAAATACTCGGAATCGGAAGCACTAGTGTGTGCAAGAAAAAGGGGTTTGATTTGCTCACTTTCCAAGAGCACACGCTGCAAAAACGTCCTCGTAAAATGACGACTCTAAGAAGACATCGAAGTGGCCAAAGAACACAGGAAAGCGTTCGTGAAATCGTAGACGTGGTTGCCGCTTTGATTGCGTGGGAAATATGAGGCCCATTTTGAGAAACGATTTGGAATAGGAGATATAGGCAAAACATGATTGCACATTCATAGAAGTCATGTCCTTTTTTGTGCATATCATAACGATCATAACGATTTGCAGAAAAAAAACATCGAGATTTATTTATTTCTATTTCCCTGATGGCCTTGATCGTATCAGGGAGCAGTTGGAGAAGTTGGAAAAAACGAAAATTTCATACATAGAGGATCTAAAGGTAAAGCCATAGCCGGGTGCAATCGAGAAGCCAACAAACATCCTCTCCCATCAAATAGTGAGGGATTTTTGGGGGACTGAGAGCAATATTCACATGCTTGTGGAACCAAACACTTCCTGCCACAGTAAACACGAACGTGTACTCCCAGAGAGCACTAAAAACAAAAGCAACGGAACACAACAAAGTGTTCCTGGCCGAAAAGCGATGTCCGCCCTAGCACCACATAAGGATCGGGGTTGGGTGGGGTGATCACAGAAGTCCCATTGATACAGCAAACATAAGAGAACCACCTCCGATCCTAAGGATAAAGCGAGCACACTGTTTACTTTTCATTACAAGGATATACGTAGCACGAAAGGGTTATGAATAAAAATCGGATTCATCATGGTAGAGCCAGCTAAGTGCAAACAGAAGCGCATTGGAAAGGCGCAAATAGAATGAAAGATGAGGAGAACGTGGAAAAAGCGAACTAAGGGTAAACATGACTATGAACAAGCAAGATAGCAATAACGAAGGCAATGAATTTAGGAATATTGTCACTGCTAATCGATAACCACTGTTCATTAATAGACTTTTACCAGGGAGAAGAATAAATAATCCAGATGTAAAGGTAAAAAAGAAGCAGCGATGACTTACCACAGCCATAAAGAGACACGTGGTATCAAAGAATGAACAAACATTTGCAGCAAGATGTCGATGACAACGAAAAAACGGTACATCAACGGCACACGTGACTTTTGAGGGTGCACAGCTGCATGACAGCAATCTGGCCAGGACGTTTATTCAGTCCCACTGTAGCTGCTCTTGCATAGCACTTATCCTACCTTTAACGAACCAGTATTCATCATCCGGAAATAAAAAGCAGAACCAGAATACGAAGCAAATTGCCATCTCCACCACCAATTTGCTACGCTCAGTGAACATTACCCGGCTGCCTACCTGCAAACCTGATCAAAGACAACTCGGCTGTTCCGTCTTCAGCCAATCCTTTCCACTGTTTGTAGCACGCGATGGAAATTAAAGGGTAAAGAATTAAGTCCTTGAGCGTTAATCAATCCCGTCTGAGGGGTGCACCCCCGCATTCGATTTTCATTCAGAATCGCAGTGGCGTATCGAATGCGTATGTGGCCGATACAGTGATTAGCGGTGAACAGCCGATGCACAAGTCAATGCTTTTTTTTCTCCCAAACGAATCTGGTNCGCTTTCAATTTGATTTTTCTAGGTGATTGTAACCGG